TAGTGCCCATGGAACATTCTCCAGAATTGATCACATCCTAGGTCACAAATCAGGTCTCAACCGGTACCAAAAGATTGGGATCATTCCCTGCATATTTTCAGACCACAATGCTTTGAAACTAGAACTCAATCACAAGAGGAAAGTCGGAAAGAACTCAAATACATGGAGGCTAAAGAGCATCCTACTAAAGAATGAATGGGTCAACCAGGAAATTAAAGAAGAATTAAAAAAATTGATGGAAACCAATGAAAATGAAAACACAACTGTTCAAAATCTTTGGGATACAGCAAAGGCAGTCCTAGGAGGAAAGTATATAGCAATACAAACCTTTCTGGAGAAAAAAGAAAGGTCTCAAATACACAACCTAACCCTACACCTAAAGGAGCTAGAGAAAAAACAGCAAATAAAGCCTAAACCTAGCAGGAGAAGAGAAATCATAAAGATCAGAGCAGAAATCAATGAAGTAGAAACCAAAAGAACAGTAGAACAGATCAACGAAACTAGGAGCTGGTTCTTTGAAAGAATTAACAAGATTGATAAACCGCTGGCCAGACTTATCAAAAAGAAAAGAGAAATGACCCAAATCAACAAAATCATGAATGAAAGAGGAGAGATCACAACCAACACCAAAGAAATACAAACAATTATAAGAACATATTATGAGCAACTCTATGCCAGCAAATTAGATAACCTGGAAGAAATGGATGCATTCCTAGAAATGTATCAACTACCAAAATTGAACCAGGAAGAAATAGAGAACCTGAACATACCTATAACCACTAAGGAAATTGAAGCAGTCATCAAAAATCTCCCAAGAAACAAAAGCCCGGGGCCAGATGGCTTCCCAGCGGAATTCTACCAAACATTTAAAGAAGAATTAATACCTATTCTCCTGAAACTGTTCCAAAAAATAGAAATGGAAGGAAAACTTCCAAACTCATTTTATGAGGCCACCATTACCTTGATCCCAAAACCAGACAAAGACCCCATGAAAAAGGAGAATTACAGACCAATATCCTTGATGAACATGGATGCAAAAATTCTCACCAAAATACTAGCCAATAGGATCCAACAGTACATTAAAAGGATTATTCACCATGACCAAGTGGGATTTATCCCTGGGCTGCAAGGTTGGTTCAACATCTGCAAATCAATCAACGTGATACAATACATGAACAAAAGAAAGAACAAGAATCATATGATCCTCTCAATAGATGCAGAAAAAGCATTTGACAAAGTACAGCATCCTTTCTTGATTAAAACTCTTCAGAGTATAGGGATAGAGGGTACATACCTCAATATCATAAAAGCCATCTATGAAAAACTTACAGCGAATATCATTCTCAATGGGGAAAGGCTGAGAGCTTTTCCCCTAAGGTCAGGAACGCGGCAGGGATGTCCACTCTCACCACTGCTATTCAACATAGTATTAGAAGTCCTAGCCACAGCAATCAGACAACAAAAAGAAATCAAAGGCATCCAAATCAGCAAAGAGGAAGTCAAACTCTCACTCTTTGCAGATGATATGATACTATATGTGGAAAACCCAAAAGACTCCACCCCAAAACTGCTAGAACTCATACACGAATTCAGTCAAGTAGCAGGCTATAAAATCAATGCACAGAAATCAGTGGCATTCCTATACACCAACAACAAGACAGAAGAGAGACAAATCAAGGAGTCGATCCCATTCACAATTGCACCCCAAACCATAAGATACCTAGGAATAAATTTAACCAAAGAGGCAAAGGATCTGTACTCAGAAAACCATAAAATACTCATGAAAGAAATTGAAGAAGACACAAAGAAATGGAAAAACGTTCCATGCTCATGGATTGGAAGAACAAATATTGTGAAGATGTCAATGCTACCTAGAGCAATCTACACATTCAATGCAATCCCCATCAAAATACCATCCACTTTTTTCAAAGAAATGGAACAAATAATCCTAAAATGTGTATGGAACCAGAAGAGACCCCGAATAGCCAGAGGAATGTTGAAAAAGAAAAGCAAAGCTGGCGGCATCACAATTCCGGACTTCCAGCTCAATTACAAAGCTGTCATCATCAAGACAGTATGGCACTGGCACAAAAACAGACACATAGATCAATGGAACAGAATAGAGAGCCCAGAAATGGACCCTCAACTCAAGCAGGAAAGAATGTCCAATGGAAAAAATCTCTTCAACAAATGGTGTTGGGAAAATTGGACAGCCACATGCAGAAGAATGAAACTGGACCATTTCCTTACACCACACACAAAAATAGACTCCAAATGGTTGAAAGACCTAAATGTGAGACAGGAGTCCATCCAAATCCTAAAGGAGAACACAGGCAGCAACCTCTTCGACCTCAGCCGCTGCAACTTCTTCCTAGAAACATCGCCAAAGGCACGGGAAGCCAGGGCAAAAATGAACTATTGGGATTTCATCAAGAGAAAAAGCTTTTGCACAGCAAAAGAAACAGTCCACAAAACCAAAAGACAACCGACAGAATGGGAGAAGATATTTGCAAATGACATATCAGATAAAGGGATAGTATCCAAAATCTATAAAGAACTTATCAAACTCAACACCCAAAGAACAAATAATCCAATCAAGAAATGGGCAGAAGACATGAACAGACATTTTTTCCAAAGAAGACATCCAAATGGCCAACAGACACATGAAAAAGTGCTCAACATCGCTCGGCATCAGGGAAATCCAAATCAAAACCTCAATGAGATACCACCTCACACCAGTCAGAATGGCTAGAATTCACAAGTCAGGAAACGACAGATGTTGGCGGGGATGTGGAGAAAGGGGAACCCTCCTACACTGTTGGTGGGAATGCAAGCTGGTGCAGCCACTCTGGAAAACAGTATGGAGGTTCCTCAAACAGTTGAAAATAGAGCTACCCTATGATCCAGCAATTGCACTACTGGGTATTTACCCCAAAGATACAAATGTAGGGATCCGAAGGGGTACGTGCATCCCAATGTTTATAGCAGCAATGTCCACAATAGCCAAACTGTGGAAAGAGTCAAGATGTCCATCGACAGATGAATGGATAAAGAAGATGTGGTATATATACACAATGGAATATTATGCAGCCATCAAAAGGAATGAGATCTTGCCATTTGCAATGACGTGGATGGAACTGGAGGGTGTTATGCTGAGTGAAATAAGTCAACCAGAGAAAGACATGTATCATATGACCTCACTGATATGAGGAATTCTTAACCTCAGGAAACAAACTGAGGGTTGCTGGAGTGGTGGGGGGTGGGAGGGATGGGGTGGCTGGGTGATAGACACTGGGGAGGGTATGTGCTATGGTGAGCGCTGTGCATCGTGCAAGACTGTTGAATCACAGACCTGTACCTCTGAAACAAATAATGCAATATATGTTAAGAAAAAAGAAAAAGAAGAAGATAGAGGAGGGGAAGAATGAAGGGGAATAAGTCGGAGGGGGAGACGAACCATGAGAGACGATGGACTCTGAAAAACAAACTGAGGGTTCTAGAGGGGAGGAGGGTAGGGGGATGGGTTAGCCTGGTGATGGGTATTAAAGAGGGCACGTTCTGCGTGGAGCACTGGGTGTTATGCACAAACAATGAATCATGGAACACTACCTCAAAAGCTAATGATGTAATGTATGGTGATTAACATAACAATAAAAAATTTAAAAAAAGACAAATACACCGATTAAAGAAACTCAGGCCAAATGGATCAACAACTGTGGTACATCCCTTCAATGGAATATTATTCAGTGATTAAGACAGGTAAAAAGAAGCAGACAATTAATTATGAATAAAGCAGTAGTCAGAGAAATGCAAAATAAAACTTTGTATCATCTTTCACCTATTAGATTGCCAAAAATTATAAAGGACTGAGAGCATACACTGTTAATGAGTGTGTAGGGAAATGGGTACTTTCATACACTATTGGTGGAGATGTACACTGGCAAAATCATTTTGGAGAAAATTTTGGCAAAAATGTTTTTAAGTATACCACCACTTTGTAAGTACACCTTACTTACGGGGATGAAGTTTGTTGAAATACACTGGCCAAGCCTGTATTTATGAAACTCCTATTCATTACTGTGTTATTGGTTTCAATGAAGAAGAAGCTGAGTGTTAATCAGCAGGATAATAAAAAAATTGTATGTTTATATACTAAAATAAGATAAAATACTGCAAAAATGAATCAGGCCCATAAGTACTAAGATGAAAAGTGTTAAGTTAGGGGTGCCTGGGTGGCTCAGTTGGTTAAGCATCTGCCTTTGGCTCAGGTCATGATCCCAGGGTCCTGAGATTGAGCCCCACATCGGGCTCTCTACTCTGTGGGAAGCCTGCTTCTCCCTCTCCCACTCCCCCTGCTTGTGTTCCCTCTCTCATTGTCTCTCTCTCTCTCTGTCAAATAAATAAATAAAATCTTTTTATTTTAGAGAGAGAGAGCATCTACACTCATGCGTGCAAGTGGGGGGAAGGGCAGAGGGAGAGACTCTCCAGCAGACTCTGTGATGAGGGTGGAGTCCCACTCGGGGCTCAATCTCACGTCTCTGAGATCGTGACCCGAGCCGAAATCAAGAGTCAGATGCTCAACCTCCTGAGCTACCCAGGCGCCCCTCAATTCTGTTACTTAATGAGGATCTGAGGGTTCTAGTCAATGCAAAGAGAAAACAAGGAAGGAAGGAAGGAAGGAAGGAAGGAAGGAAGAAAGGAACAAAGAAGGTACAATTACTAGTAATGTAGACTCAAAATTATAAGATTCAAAACTTTAATCCAGCCTTATTTAAAATCAAACATAATTATTGGTCACAAGAGTATTTGACGAGAAGGCTGGAAAGGAAACACATTTTCGCCCAAATTATTTGAGGACGCAAGTGTTGTCCTGTTTATTGTCATCTTAGCTAGAGAAGGAAGGAGAAGTTAGTGGTTCTGGAGACCAGCCAGGTGTCACCAGAGATCTAATTTATGATTAAACCATACATGCTTGCTTCCTTGTCATCATGATGGCAATTTCTCCCAAAGTGTTTACTGGCATTCAAGGAGAAGGAACTGAAGAGGTTCCATGAGATGGCCATCTGTTAGAGTACAAGAGGTCTTTTGTTCCTGTTTAATCTCACAGGAATGTAACCTTTAACCACAAGGCTTGGGGTAACCAGAAAACCTGTAAAATATAATTACTATGACAGACCATATTTGTTCATTTAGGCCACAAAACACGTTAGTTGTAGAAAATTGAACGTGCTCGCTTCATCTGTAAATGAACCCAGTGGTTTTATGACCCCTGACGTACCATTTCATAAATGACGTAATATGCGCTGTGTAGACATTGGTTGCTCAAAGGATTTCTGGGAGAGCTGGAGACCCAGGCTTGAGGTTACGGGGTGAGAACCACAACCAAAGGTTTGGTATAGAACCAGCCTGAAGAGGACGTCTCTGCTGCCATCCCAAAGGGACAAAGGCTGCAGGGTTCTTGCTTTACTGCTCACAGGAGGCCCCCACTGGCCTTGTTCGCAGGCTGACACCACCTCTGTGTCTTCGTTGGCTCCTGATCCAGAACTCAAGTCAGTGCCTTTGATCGGCTGCGCTGGGTCATGTGCTCCGTCCTGTCTGCAAGGGACACTGTGAAGGTAAGGATCTGGTGGTGGGAACTTGTACAGTGGGAGGAGGGCTATGCCCTTCCCTGAGACGAGATGGGGGAGGGGCTCCACACATAGGAAACAGAGGAAAGAGGTTTGCATTCTGAGCGGTCAATAAAAATTAGAGAAGTCCGACACAGCTGGTGAACCCCAACTATCCTCTTATTCTGCACCTGCGCCCAAACAACGGCATGTTGTAGGAGAAAATCGTCTCCCCATGTTAATTGAACTCACTTTCAACATATGGCCACAGCTGAGCTTGCAGCACGGCCAGACTATGACTATTCTTCACCTTCCGAGCAAATTCATGTTTCTTCCTTCTGAGACTGACTTCACATTTCTCGCTCCTCCTCAGACCTCCAGCGTCTCCCCGTCAGCCCAGTGGTGGCAGTTGCATCCAGAGGAGCTCTGGCCCCTCTTTCCACCCAGCACACCCTTCCCCTTGCTCTCTGGACGCCATGGCCTCTCAGCCCCTTGGAGGTGGCGCTCCTGCACTCTGCCCTCTTCCCCAGGTTACTCGTTCCTTCCCGCGACCATGGAGATGCATCTCCTTATCCCTCATCTTCAGAAACACAAACAGAACAAGGTGTTCCACCCCCACTCCCCTTTCAACTCTTCCCTAAACAAAGCTCATCTTTAGAATCATCTCTTCGCTCGCTCCTTTTCCTCAACTCCAACTTTCCCACAAACCAATCAGGCTCTTGTCCTTACCATTTTTTTCAAGGTCACCGAAGACCTCTGTCTTGCCGAAGCCAATGTTTGTTGCATCTTCTGTTGGCATCTTATTGGACTTCCCAGCAGCACTTCATACCATGGAAACGCTTTCTTCTTGAGCTTTCGGGACTGCACACTCCCTGACTTTTCTCAACCTGTTTCTCTTCCCCAGGACTCTGTCCTTAGGGTCTTCTCTCCTCCACGACCTTCTCTGCCTCCATGATTTCTAGCCTCCTTTTCTAATTTTTTTTTCTCCATGACTTTTATTATATTTCTCCTCGACTTATTTTGAAAAGTTTCAAGCTTACCAAAAATTTGGATGAATAGTAACTATGAACACCCCTCTGGTCTTCCATGAAGTTCATCAGCTGCTAGCATTTTGCCAACATTTGTACTTTCTCTCTGTCTCTCCGTCTGTCTGTCTGTCTCTTCCTTACCTGTCCTCCCGCCTCACACACTTTATTTTTTTGTTGAACCATTTGGAAGCAAGTTTCAATCAACATGATATTTCTCGTTAAGCATTTTAGCACATATGTCCCAAGATTGGAATAAAGATTTTCCTAAGTAACTACAATACTTTTATTACATCTAAGAAAATTAACAATCAATTAGGATCATCTAATATATGGTGCATATTCAAATTTCCCCAGATCTCCACGATACAACTTTTATAGAAGTTTTTCTTTTGCTTTTAAAAAATATTTTATTTATTTATTTGAGAGAGAGAGGGAAAGAGAGAGTGCAAGTGTGTGTGGGGGAGGGAAACAGAGAATCTCAAGCAGACTCCCTGCTGAGCACAGAGCCTGATGCGGGGCTTGATCCCATCACCCTGAGATCATGACCTGAGCCGAAATCAAGAGTCAGATGCTTAACCTACTGAGCCACCCAGGCGCTCCGTGTGTGATTTTTTAATGTAAAATTTTATGTGCATATGCATGCAACATATACATACATATATGCAAACCATATCCCCAGGTCAAAAAATAGAAATTAAAATCACTATTTTCATAGAATTTACTACTCCATGGTACGAATGTATTTCTTCTTTTTAAAAGTTTGTTCGTTTATTTATTTATTTATTTATTTATTTATTATTTGAGTAATCTCTACACCCAACATGGGGCTCAAGCTCATGACCTCCAGATCAAGAGTCACATGCTTTTCCAACTGAGCCAGCCAGGTGTCCCTGAATATATTTTATTCATTAAAAATATCCATACTGATGGCCACTCAAGTTGTTTATTCTTTTCACCCTACTGTAAACAATTCACAATAAACTTACTTGTACTGGTGGGGCGCCTGGGTGGCTCAGTCCATTAAGAGGGTCCAGGGATTGAGCCCCACAGGGCTCCACACTCAGCAGGGAGTCTGCTTTTCCCTCTCCCTCTGCCCCTCTCCTCCACTTGTGCACACTCTCTCTCAAATAAATAAATAAAATCTTAAAGAAAAAAAAACCCAATTACTTCTACTGGTACTTGCAAAGATGTCTTTTACGATAGTATTTTGTTTTAGTAGAAAGATTTCCAGTGGTGGGATTGCTGTTGCTAGGTGTGTGTGTATTTAAACTTTTAATACATACAGTAAGATCATCATACAAAAAGTTATTTCATTTCACTTATGCATCTGGTGAGTGTGAGAGAACTCATTTCTCCATAATTTCACCAGCATGGATTATTCCCAGTTTTGTAAATCACTGAGGCTCTGGTGGGAGGAGAGCATATTTACCTGACTGCTCGAGAGGTTGAGCCTCTTCACATTCACTCAATTACCACGTGCACTTCCCGTGGCAGCAAATTGCTGTTCCTACCCTTGCCTCTTTAATGCCCTGTGGTATTGTTCATCTTTCTGTTATCAATTTCTAGGAACTGAATATATATGAGAACATTAAGCCTTTGCTTATCATTTATATTGCTGGTGTATGTCTTTGGTCTTTGCCATATATTCTGTATAATGTATTTGATAACCGGTTTCAGAAAGGATGATACCAACCTAAATGAATGCTTTTCCTAGTTCATTAAAATATTCTTTATGCGTGGATACGGTGGCTTTTGTACTATGTAAGTAGAATTGTTTCCTCCTCTAGAGTAGGAGTGGATTATTAAGTCCCCAACCCACCCCTCCCCTGTCCCTTACGCACATAATCCTAAATGTGCAGAAGAATGTCTGGACCATGCTAAGCATCCGATACATATTCATTCAGTCGATGAATTTTAAAGTTTCAGTACATGATCTATAAAAATAAAGTTGGGGCACCTGGGTGGCACAGTCGGTTGAGTGTCCGACTCTTGGTTTCAGCTCAGATCATGATCTCAGGGTCATGAGATCAAGCCCCATGTCAGGCTCCGCACTCAGATTCTCTCTGTGCTCAGATTCTCTCTCCCTCTCTCTCTGCCCCTCCCACTCGTGCTCTTTCTCTCAAATAAATAAATAAAATTAAAAGCAAAATAAAATAAAGTGACCCTGTCAGGGCAAAATGGCTGGAATAATTTTTATATCAAATTTGAAAGATATTTGGGATGGTGTGAATTAAAACATAGACTACCAAATCCACCAGGAGTGGGGATAGACAGAGGTATGTATACCTGAGCGATCCTCTCAGATATTATAAGCAGGTATTCTCCCTAGTAGCTCCAAGTACCAATTCCTTCTTTTGAAAATTTGTATTTTATTTTTTATTTTAATTCCAGTGTACTTAACATACAGTGTTATTTTAGTTCCAGGTGTATAATACAGTGATTCAACTCTTCGTACATCACTCGGTGCTCATCACGGCAAGTGCCCTCCTGAATCCCCATCACTCATTTCCCCAACCCCTCACCCACCTCCCCTCTGCTGACCATCAGTTTCTTCTCTATGGTGAAGAGTCTCTTTCTTGGTTTGTCTCGTTTTTCTTTATGCGTTGGTTTTGTTTCTTAAATTCCACATATGAGTGAGATCATATGGTATTTGTCTTTCTCTGACTGACCTATTTCACTCAGCATCATACCCTCTAGTTCCATCCATGTCATTGCGAGTCCTTGAGCTTTCTTTGTCTTAGTCTCCCTTGCTTTCTGGAACAAAATATGTTTCAGGCTCACCTTCCATTTCCCTGCCTTGCCCTGGGATCATCCATGTCTCCAAATATTCCTCCTTTTTTTTTTTTTTAAATGGGGCATGGTATTCAGATGAACTGGGTGTCAGATGTGTTCACTGTGTATCATTACGTCTAAGCCCTTCCAGTGGACAGAGCAAAAATCATGAACTCTTAAAAAATATATACATTTTTAGGGATCATACGCTGAATATTAATATGACCAATTCAACTTCAGCCAATACCGCTACACCTTTGTCCTTCTGTATTTGTACCTTCCTTCCCTCACAGTGAGAATCTCGACAAAATCCACATATTTGTGCATTTATTCTATCCTATAATATACCCAAAATAGTTTGAGAATTACTCTCTATATTGTGATTTTTATGAGACTCTGGTTTATCCTGTTTCCTTTGTGAAGAAAATGAATATGGATAGAAGCATTTCCAGAGGCCGAGTAAAGGTCTCTGGAAATCTGCTTCTCCATAAAAGCAACAGAAACACTGGCAAAAATGGTCAAAATCAACTGTTTTAGAACTCTAGAGATTCACCAAAGGCTTGCTAAAATCCGAGAAGGATTTATTGAAGAGAAACAGCTGAAACTAGGT